TTAGTCTTTGCAACTTTACAGATCTGCATTATGCACCAAGCGCTTGTAACACTCCAAAGAGAAAGGAACAATTTAAATCGCATCATATGACCCCTTTAAAGAATTAAACATGTTTATATCAAGCGGCAACCTCCCGCTCTCTCTCAAGAAGCCAACAAGGAAGTGACTTAAACTGTAATTCGTCAACTGGCCTCTAGAGGCTGGCTGCAAAAGGGAGTCAATCCCATAGACTCCCCATGTTAAAATGGCCAACTTTACGGCAGAAAAAAACTCGATTATCCGGGAGTGACGCACGGTGATGCGCTGCCAAGATGGCGACGGCCGGCTCTGCCCACTTTGAGCATCAAAAAGCTCTTCAGGAACCTACCGGTGACGTCACGGACACTACGTCCATGTTTTTATACAGTCATCAATCATTTTGCTTGTGTTAGACTATTGGTACCAATAACGACGATTACAAAACTGAACTATATTTTCTCCTCACGTCCGTGTTAGAAACTACAATTATTATTATTATTATTGTTATTATTATTATTATTGCATAACAAGAACAGTAACATAACATACCTATATAGAGGATCACAGTATTTTCAACTATTATCAATTACATTTATAATAGCATCAAAGGAAGAAACAGAAAAAAAGAAAGGAGAAAAAAATTTAAAAAAAAACTACAGGGGATAACTTAAAAGAAATTTTCATAAGAAAAGGATTCAAAAATTCTATACATCCTTTTTGCTTTTTTATTTTTTAGATCTTTTAATTCTTCAATGTAATGCTTAAGTTCAATTTTAAATAATGTAATGTTATGTTTATTATTAGTCCATTTTTGTTTGTGTATATGATATTTCCCTGTATAATTATTAAATTAATCACCGAATTTTGCTCCAAACTCTTATTTTTATACAACAAAAAATATATCTTTAACAGAGAGTCGAATCTTTAATTTTATACATTTAAATATAAGATATTCAATATCAATCCAAAACATTTGGGTAAATACACAATCATAAAATAAGTGTTTTATGGATTCTTCCTGTAAGTCACAAAAGATGCATTAGAAACTACAAATCCCATCATCCGTTCAGCGTTAGTGACGTCACTCGAGCGCCAGCGTCCGCGGACTCACTCAGGAGCCATGGCGGACGTTATGAATGTTGGAGTGAATTTAGAAGCGTTTTCTCAAGCGATTAATGCCATCCAGGCTCTTCGATCGAGTGTCACCAAGGTGTTCGATTCTCTTAAAGATGGGATGAAAAATAAGGAGACCCTTGAAGGGCGGGAGAAAGTCTTTATAACTGAATTCCAAGATAACTTGCAGTCAGTCAATCGCGATTTAAAGTGAGTTAATTGTCTGACCATTCACTAACACTGTGAAATGTTATAACGGTAACCATAGTCACTGCCAAAATGCAAGTGTTATTGTAATAAACCATGGTAACGAAGTACAACCCGTTGCTGTCAACATAAAAAGCGATTATGACAGATTCTGAAATCCCACATTAATTTATTATGATTTTAATGTATTGTGGTATGTTTTTCTAAATAATGACTGACATCTTTTTTACTTATGGCTCAGAAAGTCAAAATAGCTCGATTTTTAGCTTGACTTTGGGAACCACAATTAAAATTATGTAATCATATAGTGTCATTTTCGTGAGTGAAGTGTGACATTGGTTTCATTATGTATGTTAAAAAAATATCAACCGTACCATCCTGACTTTTGTTTCTTGTTTCTGCAGTGAATTGGAGCGTCTCAGCACTTTGGTTGGCAGGCCGTCAGAGAGTCACCCCTTACACAACAGTGGACTGCTCAGTTTAGACCCCGTTCAGGACAAAACCCCTCTGTACAGCCAGCTGCTCCAGGCTTACAAATGGTCCAATAAAGTAAGTTGTCAGCATTTTGCTGATTCACCTTGCATTGTAGCCTTTATATGTAACACTCACAGGTGATTTAAAAGTAATGAAATGAAATTTGAGTGACAAATGTCTTAAATGGTCTATTCAGACTTCAGCCATACGTCACTCCAGAAATATACTCAATACTGAATTACGTATTAAAGGGTCACCTTGATGTGGTCTTGGACAATGTTACATTTTCCAGGGCTGGAAAAAGCTTTAGGCTATTGTTCAAAATGTTGGGTCGGTCAGATTTTTTTTTATGTTTAAGAAAAAGGTCTCTTATGCTCACCAAGGGTGCATCTATTTGATCAGAAATACTGTAAAAACAGAAATATTGTGAGATAATATTACAATTTTAAATAACTGTTTTCTATTTTAATTGATTTGAAAATGTAGTTTATCCTGAGATGGTAAAGCTGAATTTTCAGCATCATTACTTCAGTCTTCAGAAATTATTCTAATATTCTGATTTACTGCTCAAGAAACTTTTCTTATTATTATCAATATTGAAAACATTTGTGCTGTGTAATATTTTTGCCTTTGAGCAATAGAGAGTTCACAAGAACATTTATTTGAAATATAAGCATTTTATAACAATATACACTAGCGGTCAAAATTTGGGATGAGAACGATTTTTCATGTTTTTTTACAAGAGTTTCTTATGCTCAACAAGGATGCATTTATTTGATCAAATATACAGGAAAAAAATTTATATTGTGAAATATTATGATGATGTAAAATAACGTTTTTCTATTTTAATATACATTAAAATGTAATTTATTCCTGTGATGTAAAGCTGAATTTTCAGCATCATTACTCCAGTCTTCAGTGTCACATGATCCTTCAGAAATCATTCTAATATGCTGATTTATTATCAGTGCTGGAAACTGTTGTGCTGTTTAATATTTTTTGGAACCTGTGATTTTTTTTTTTTCAGGGTTATTTGATTAATAAAAAGTTAAAAAAGAAGAGCATTTATTTAAAATAGAAATCTTTTCTAATAATATACACTACAGTTCAAAAGTTTGGGGTCAGTAAATTTTTCTTCTTTCTTTTTTTGAAAGAAATTAAAACTTTTATTCAGCAAGGATGTGTTAAATTGTTAAGAAGTCATAGCAAAGATTTATATTGTTAGAAAAGATTTACATTTTGAATAAATGCTGTTCTTTTTGACTTTTTATTCATCAAAGAATCCTGAAAAAGTATCGCAGTTTCCAAAAAAAAAAATTGCCAGCACAACTGTTGCTAACATTGATAATTCTAATAATAAATCAGCATATTTGAATGATTTCTTAAGGATCATGTGACTTGTAATAACATTTTGCAAGATTACTGTTTTTTTTTCTGTATTTTTGATCAAAATAAATGCAGCCTTAATGAGCAGAAGAGACTTCTTTAAAAAACATTACAAGTCTTACTGATCCCAAACTTTTGACCAGTAGTGTAAATGTCTTTACTGTCACTATTGGTCAATTTAATGCATCCTTGCTGAATAAAAATATTAATTTCAGACTATACTTTCAGACTGTAAAATTCTGAACAGTATGAAAAGTAATCATTAGGGATATAACGATTCACTCAACTCACGATGCGTTACGATTGACGATACTGATTTCACAATATGATTTTTTTTTATTTATTTAATTTTTTTGACAAAATGAGATTTAAGACAAATTATAAATGAAAAGATGTAATTTATTATTGCTTGGACAAAATGCTGCACATTTCTTCGTGAAATTTAAATATGTCAAATACCAAAACTAAACTCAAATTTTAAAACAAACTTCTTCATATAAACAGATCAAGGCTTTGTCTGTGCTCTTTCCATTTAAAATTAGAGGCAACCTCTTTATTTTAATCAAAATCCAAACAAAGATGCTGCATACATGCAGTATGAGCAGTTTTAAATCTGAATTAGATTGTATAATTTTGAATTTGAAACTATACTACATAAAATATATCTGCACTACGGGTGGGCGATATAGCCTCAAAATTATATCACGATATTTCAAGAATATTTGTGATAACGATATTTATGATGATATAGAAAACAAACATGGAACAACGTTTTATTATATGAGAGTAGGCGGCTGCAGTGAGGGGAGGAGTGA